TTTCATTTTAAATAGAAAAATATATTTAATTATAGAAAAGTTTAACAAAGTTAATATCAGTTTAAGGCGATGTTTTCATCTTTTCATCTTCACCTTCTGGATCATCTCTACAATTTGTATCCTCTAGACCAGTATTTATTGACAACTGTGACAGTGCCATTCCTGTGTAATAGATATTATTGATTAAGAATCACAATAAAGTTGCTTTACTTATTCCATCACATTGGTTGCTAATTGGTTTTCCTTTATGCTCAAGAATCTTCATAAAGTCGTATAGTACATCGGGGTTCTTAGCTGCTCCTTGGAGAATTTGTTGAAGGACAAACCATGTACGTGTAGCCTCTTCACTAGCATCTCCTTGAGTGCATACCACATATTCAGAATAAGAGATTAATCCTTTGGCCACTGCTCCCGATGCAATGGTAGTTAGAGATGCTGTGATGCCAGTGAATATTTTCTTACTAATTTTTCTAAAATCTTGTGCAGTTTTGCAATTATCTATGTGAATATGTGTAGTAATTGATAGAAATGAACAAAAGCAAAATACTCATTTCTTTTTTTAAAGTACTTTTTAAATTATATTAATCTTTTCTTACCTACTAGTTTAGCTAAGTGCTCAAAACTGGCTTCTTTTCTTATCACTTCTGCAAAAATTTTGATTGCTGTTTCAACATTCCTTGCATCCTTTTCCTTAAGCCTTTTTTCAATGTACCTGACAAGCAACTGTGCTCTTCCATTTTCAGATTCCCATTTGCCACCAAACATCGAATCGTAGGTGTCTTCATCTATCATTTCCTGAGCATAGCAGTCCCCAGCTATGCTAACAATTGATGCTGACAGACCATTCTGTAGATTATCCATGCACATTAGGATTGCCAGAGCTTCATTGGTTTTGGCTTCTGCTTTCATCTCTTTCTCATCCATCTGGAATGCCATTTTGACTTTATTTCTTTTCCTTCTTTGCTCTTCTTATCAGTGGTGATATGAGTAGCTCCTCCTTTTGTGAGGGAGTTACTTTCCTGTATATGTTAGCCACTTCTTATATTACAGGTGTCTTCCCTGGGACAGTCCCACTGATCACTGGTCATATGATGTTTGAATAAGCATAGCTAGTAGCTACCCTATAAATTCTTCCTTGATACATGTACAGATGTACTATACTATTATAATAATGAATCATATTTTTACTTAGAGATTACCAGTCTCTTGGTATTGATGAAGATTTCAGTGATAGAGAGGAGACAGCACCAGAGAAAAGACTACGTCTTGCTAAAGATTACCTTCAGCAACTGAAAGCTGAAGGTAAGCACACCCACACATCACACCATCATCACTACATATGTACATGATGTAACTGTATGAACTATATGTGTTTATTAGTAGGGCAGCTCAATACAGCATGTCTTTCATTGATACTACCATTTGAACATGCATACACAAACTTGTTTTCAAGGATAGTCATAATATTTTCCATTTAATGTTAGTATAAAGGATCAAGTGATAGCTGTTGTGTGCTTTGATTATACTAGCGCTACTTACAATGTTCATTACATGTACATGTACATACACTAGCTCTGTACGTGACACTGCCATTCATTGTAATGTATGCAATGCCAATTCTTTTACTGATAATAGTACACACTTCCTCCTAAAATGCTTACATTGACTGCGGTGCATGTTTACTTTTGACAACGCACGCTCCGTCTGTTTACTATACCACTCGCTAAGAAGAATCCACAAACATCTGCAACGACATT